TGGAAAAAAGTTTTTCTAAAAAGTATATCTTCCGACGTAATTTTTTACGTTGATTCCGAATATGCTATTCATTTTGCTATGGAAATCGGCTATGATGGTGAAAGCCATCGAGCGTAGACCCCATTTGGTACGGCTTTATTTATTTTTACTATCAACACCAAAAGAAACCGGATTTTCTCGACAACTATACAAAATTTAAAGGCACATCGATAGATACTTTTGAAGCTTAGACTTCAGTGGTTCTACATGAAGCAAAACATTTCCTTCGATCTCTCTTCATCAACAGTTATACAGACGTCTATAGAAGCATACTTTGTGGTATTCTTCAGTTATCTGTACTGGGCAGGATATTTTCTATTTCATTTACCTTTCATCTAATGAAACCATATTTTTGTACTCAGTTTTCTATGCTGATTACGCATCTGAAACCATATTTTTGGTTTACACGACCATAAAATATGTATTATTCTGATTATCGGTTCAAATGGATAGAGATGTGCAATACTCCTCACTGTTTGTAGTTCGGACTAACTTTTACTACCAAGGTTGAAATCTTTTGAGTTACACCTTAAACAATGCAGAATTCCAAGAGCTTTCAAAAAAAAAACAAAAATTATTTTGGGACAGAATGCTCCGACTTGCCTAGCGTCAATATTCTAAAATATCTTCATTTTAGGTAATCGCCATTTTACTCGTATCTGGAGATTATCGCTTGGTAAATAGTATTGTAGAATATACTGAACTAGTGAATTTTGTAGATAAAACATTTCTGCATCTTTTCGGATGTTTCTGAACTCCCAGAAATGCTCGGATGCTGAGAAAAGTGCAAAACACTAGGAGCACTGAAAGATAGCGATTTCTGACCAACTGCCGAGGGGTGTGTCACTTGTATGATCTGGCGTTTTTTTACAGGAAACTCAGAAAGAGCTAATATTTTGAATTTGAAGTAGTCGCATGTTGGTCTATCGTTTTAGATAGTTAAATCAAAAATCAAAATTTTAGTGGCGGTCGGCTGTGTAGGTTCTCTCGTGGACCTCGCTTAATGTTCCTATTCTTGAAAAGTAATTCTGCTATAAATGAAGAATTATGAGGCACCATATAATTAAATGTACATGACAGGTTTTATAAAGTGAATGTACTGTGATTCGACAAAGGTTTCGTTCTTCAATGTGTTTTCAGTAACAAATCGATAAAAACATGGTAAATCTAGCTGACAGACGAGGAAAAATCAAGTTCTAGAAATGAACGTGAAGAATCATGGGTTTAAACCGAAATTTTTGTATTCCAGTATACTGAAAAGCAATAAGGCGATAAAACTTGTAGAATCGACTACAGAAACTCGGAAAAGAGCATAAGTTGAGAAAAAAATTGCGAATTGTGACAGGTTCATCAGTCCCTAGCGCCATTATACAGGCGAAAAATTCCTATAAAGAGCGCTTTATGGAAACTTTTATAGGCATGAAAAGTTTTGCTTTTGAAGAACTTCTATCTCAGTTGTTAGTTTTCTTTCTAGGTAGAAGAATTATTGAATCATTAATAATTTCCTTTAGCAAGGATGGATTATCATTATCTAGTGAAGTACAGTTTCATAAATAAAAAAAACGCTATTGATCTGTTTATGATGACATTACATAGAATTGCTGGATGCGCCCCATTGACTTACGTACTAAAATAAAATGTGCCGATGTGTCGCAATTTTTGTGTTGCATCTCTTGCGTTCTTCGCTAGTTAACATATAGCAACCAGCAGGAACGCAAGAGATGCGACACATAAAAATTGTGACACGAAGAGCTCGTTGCGATACATGCGAGACATTTTATTTTAGTGTGTATCGATGATGAGTATGAGTATGGGTGTATGGGCGTGGGTATGGACGTTGTGAGCAGTACAGTAGCAACCACAGCCTCAGTCTCAGCCACAGCCACGGCCACAGCCACACCAACACGCTCACACCCCACACCCACATTCACACCGACACCCAAAACCTCTTTGCACTTTAGTCATTTAAAATTAACGACGATATCTACAGTTAAAGCGTACTTAAAATAAAATAAGAAATAATAAACTCAATGCAAAACATTGATTGCTGATTTCGTGCATCGATCTGAAATATGAGCATAATGCCATCGAAAATTTTAAATCAATATAATCGAGGAGAGCATCTCTATTTGGCAAAGAATGCTTTCCTCTTAATAGTAGATATCCTATGTGAAGAGAACGATTTCCTTCTCCCCAATATGACAAAGACTAATGAGCAGTCATCCTATTCCGCGATGTTCAACATTGCGGAATCAGTTCCGCCCCCGCGATCAGTTTCATCCAATTCCGGGAACTCGAAAATCATTCCACAAATGGGACTTATTCGACAACAATCGCGTTCCCTCAATTTCCGGAATTCCAGGAATTGAGTCCATTCTAAACTACTCGTGATTCCTAGAAATTCCGTCTAATTCCGTCCGATTTCGTAGCAACCTACGCTTTGCCATTCTGGAATTTCGGGAACTGATTCCGGTCGGGAACCAGTCCCCGAAATTCAAAAATTGCTCGGAATTCCGGCATTCCGGGAACCGGTTCCCAACCGGAATCAGTTCCCCAAATTCCGGAATTCCAGGAACTGGTTCCGGATAGGAATCAATTCCCGAAATTCCGGAGTTCCCGGGAATTCCGTCCGATTCCGCTTCGACCTAATTCCCGGAATTCCGTCCCGGAATTGCTGATTTATTTCAGTGATTAATCTA